AGGTGCTCCCTGGCTGCCACACATTGCCAGGTGGACCCATTCCTAACCAGTCCTAGCCGGTCCTGCCCACTCTCCCCCCGCCCCCCACCCCCGCCCCAAACACAAGGTCCAGATCACAGTCGCACCCTGGAACAGGCCTGGGCTGGGCCTTGGCAATGGAGGCTCTGAGGCCCGTGGAATGCGGAATGCACCTCCCAAGAGGCCCCGCCCATCCTGGGATCCCCACCAAGGCCTTCTCCACCCCACAGGTGCCGCCCTTGCGGAGTCCCGGAGCCCCTCTGAGCCAAGGCGCTGCCAGACAGCCTCATCTGCACATGCTCTGCATCCACTGACAGGAAGGGCCGTCTCCTCCCACAGGAGATTGCCTCTGTAATTAAATGAAGTGACCTGGCTTCCTGTCAAGCTGTTGGGCCAAGAGGAGGTCTAACCATGCACCATGCCAGGTAACGCAAGCCTCACCATGAGAGGAGGGGGCCGGGCAAGGAGTCAGAATCTTACAGTGAGCACTTGGGCTGGGCCAGTGTCCGAAGCATCTTCCCAGAGTCTGGCCGTCAATGTGCCAGCAGGCCCGGCAGGTAGGAGGGGTGAGGTGAGACCTCCGTACCCACCCCCGGGAAGCGTGAGGTCCCTGCGTATGGGAGAGGCCTCCGCCTGGCCCTGGCCCCAAGTTGGGCCTGCCTCCCATCCCCCAGCCCTGGGCCTTCCTGCTCCCTCCCTGGAGTCACTGAAGTGGAGTCCTCTTCCCTCTGCCTGGCCAGCTGCCCGGGCCTTGCTAGTGATTCCTTTATTTGTTTATTTACCACATGATTAGTATTGGCTCACATGCAGAAACAAAACTGAATCCGGGTGTGTGGCCAGGCCTCTGTCCTGCAGAGCCCAGGGCGATGCCGTCCTCGCTCCCTTCCCGATCGGCTCCCTCTTCCCCCTACTACCCCTTCCCCCGCAACCAGAGCTGCAGAAGGACCCAAGGGCCCGCCAGCCTCTCCAGCATGGTCTCCCACACACACCAGACCCCACAGAGACCAGGGGCAGCCCGCAGTGCCCGGCCCAAACACCGCAAGGTTTGCTATTGCCGTGGGCACTCAAAGTATGGTGGTTTAGTTCAACACTGGGTGAGCCACAGAGACTCCCCTGGGTTCCCTGGCATCCGGGCTTCATGGAGAGATGCCCCATGGAGCTGCTCAAACACCCCAGGAAATAGGGGAAGGGGGAGGGCTGGGCTGTGGGGTTGGCTCTCTGAGCCCACAGGTGAGTCCTCGGTGAGATGTAGGGCTCTCCCTGCCCAGGCCTCCAGAATCCGCCCCTGGAAGCCACAGCTAACAGCACTGGAGTACGTGCACATCACACAAGACACTGGAACACGTGTGTGTGTCACACAAGACACTGGAACATGTGTGTGTGTGTCACACAAGACACTGGAACACGTGTGTATTACACAAGACACTGGAACACGTGTGTGTGTCACACAAGACACTAGAACACTTGTGTGTGTCACACAAGACACTGGAACACGTGTGTATTACACAAGACAAAGGAACACGTGTGTATTACACAAGACACTGGAACACGTGTGTGTGTCACACAAGACACTGGAACACATGTGTATTACACAAGACAAAGGAACACGTGTGTATTACACAAGACACTGGAACACGTGTGTATTACACAAGACACTGGAACACGTGTGTGTCACACAAGACACTAGAATACTTGTGTGTGTCACACAAGACACTGGAACACTTGTGTATTACACAAGACACTGGAACACGTGTGTGTGTCACACAAGACACTGGAACATGTGTGTATTACACAAGACACTGGAACACGTGTGTGTGTCACACAAGACACTAGAACACTTGTGTGTGTCACACAAGACACTGGAACACGTGTGTATTACACAAGACAAAGGAACGCGTATGTGTATTACACAAGACACTGGAACACGTGTGCGTATCACACAAGACACTGGAACATGTGTGCGTATTACACAAGACACTGGAACACATGTGTGTATAACACAAGACACTGGAACACGTGTGTGTTACACAAGACACTGGAACACATGTGTGTTACACAAGACACTGGAACACGTGTGCGTGTCACACAAGACACTGGAACACGTGTGCGTATTACACAAGACACTGGAACACGTGTGTGTCACACAAGACACTGGAACATGTGTGCGTATTACACAAGACACTGCAACACGTGTGTATTACACAAGACACTGGAACACGTGTGCATGTCACACAAGACATTGGAATGCATATGCGTGTTGCAAAAGACACTGGAATGTGTGTGCATGTCACAGAAGACACTGGAATGCATGTGCATGTCACAGAAGACACTGGAATGCATGTGCGTGTCATACAAGACACTGGAACGTGTGTGTGTGTCACACAAGACACTGGAACACGTGTGTATTACACAAGACACTGGAACACGTGTGTGTACTACACAAGACACTGGAACACGTGTGTATATTACACAAGACACTGGAACACTTGTGTATTACACAAGACACTGGAACACGTGTGTATTACACAAGACACTGGAACACGTGTGTGTGTCACACAAGACACTGGAACACGTGTGTGTGTCACACAAGACACTGGAAAGCCCTCCGTGCGCGTGGTTCAAGTGCAGCACCCAGCTGTGCCAGAGCATTGTGTGTCACTGACCCGGCTGCGGGCTCCTCCCAGGCTGGGGTTGTCCCTGCCAGGCGGGCGGGCTTCCTGACTGGAGTCTGTGGTGACTCTGGGGCGTCAGCCACCCCCTCTCCACAGCCAGGGCCCAGGCAGCTGTGCTTTCTCCCTGAGTCAGACCAGGCAGGTGCTGCAACAGCTCGGTTCCTGTGTCCGGAGGCCGGATGTACAAGGAAGGCTCCGGAGGCGAGCCCAGCCCTCCGATCAGGTCCTGCGGGCCAGAGAGCCAACCTCGCAGCTGCACACCCAAGAGGACAAAACTGCTTTGCCTAAGGAGAAAAGGTAGAATTGCAAAGTGGAGAGAAGCAGCTGGGGAGTGTGGAGCAGGTGCCTGCCCCTGCCCTGCAGGCTCGAAACCTGAGCCCCTAGGGCTTCCCCTTCCCTCTTTCCCAGCTGCTGGGGAGCAGGAGGAGGAGGAAGAGGAGGAGGAGGAGGACGAGGAGGAACAGGAGGAGGAGGAGGAGGAGGAGGAGGAGGAGGAGGAGGAGGAGGAACAGGAGCAGGAGCAGGAGCAGGAGCAGGAGCAAGAGGAAGAGACAGACATCAGCTTCCTTCCATTAACACTGAAAAATGCAGTACCCACAATGGCAGAGGTAACTTTCCCTTCAAACAGATGGCACTGAGAGACTCCAGGAGCCGGAAGTGCCCCAGAAAGGGGGTGCAACACACCAGGGCACTCTGAGACCCCAAGGCTTCCAACTTCATGGGGGACCCTGACTTCACTCCGTTCTCACCAGCTCTGGCATAGATCCAGCTCCAGCCACTGGCTCTGCGGACAGCTCACCATGCAGGGTCAGGATTCCCCCAGTTCCCGGCTGCCCACTCAAAATCATTTCCCCAGCCATCTCTCCAAAGGAAGGCAGCCTGCCCTAGTAGCCCCAGTGCCTTAGCCTAGAGGTCGGTGAACAGCAAAGGGCCAGCCGGTGAACCTGGGCCACTCCCAGAGCCTGAGGCTTATCATACCAGTCAGTGCATCAGAAAATTAAGGGGACAGTATCAACAAAGATACTGAAGACATTTATCCCATGGACAAAGGCTGTGCAGTATACTATAACGCAAGGAATGTCCTAGAAACACCAGTGACCTTAAAGTGCTGAAAAAAAAAAGGTGAAATTTTCTTAAAGACTGTGCACAAACAGGCGAGGGTGATACGTAAAAGCCTGCCACTTAAGCCAGGCGCTGCTGGCTCACGCCTGTCTGGCAGGCTGAGATCTCAGGATCACGGTTCAAAGCCAGACCAGGCAGGAACATCTATGAGACTCTTTTCTCTGATTAACCACCAGAAAACTGGAAGTGGCGCTATGGCTCAAGTGGTAGAGTGCTCACCTTGAGCTGAAGAGCTGAGGGACAGTGCCCAGGCCCAGAGTTCAAGCCCCACCACCAACCAAAACAAAACAAAAGGCTACCATTTATGCTGTGAAAACAGCACGTGAAGTACCAAGAACTGAGTATGTGTATGGGCAGATGCTGAAAGATTCCAAGATGCAGTTCGATCAAATACGTTTGCAGTGGTGTGTGCTTGTGCAAAAGCAAGCTGTGCAGCTCTCTGTCACCCCTATTAAACACAAAACACAGGAAGGAGCAGAGAGCTGGCGGCCACACCTGGATGGCGGTGACCTCTGAAACAGCCCTAGAAAGGCCCGAGAAACACTTCCCATTACCGTTAGTTTTTACTTTCATCCAAGCACAAAGAATTACTGGTGTCATTAAAGTACTTTGCAGATAATATGGAAGAAGCAGGGACTTGCTCCCTATGCCCCAAGTCTGCATTATGTCCTTCTTCCTCGTCTGGGAAACATCACCTGCCTTGGCACCCCACCTTCTCCCCAACCCTCATAGGGAGCCGGAAGAGCAGCTGCAGATGATCAACTTCCCGGGGCCCTGTCTGCACCTCTACCTCCCTCGGTGCAAAGTGGGGTGTTCATGGACCACGGGGCTCTGCATCACGACATGGTAGGGAGCAGAGAGGGAGGTGGGGTGAGCAGAGGAGGCCAGGAATGACTTTGTAAGGTCCCACTGTCGCCAGTGCTCCCCATTCAGGAGGCTGGAGCCTGGGGCTAGTCCCTGTCCCCTGGGACTGCCCTTCCAGCATGCAAGGCTTTGAGGACAAGCCACCACCAAGGACAGCTGGCCTGTGACCTTCGGGTGGAAGAGGGCAGCTCCGCCGTCCTGGTCCATTTGTGATATGCATGGTTTATCCAACCGTCCTGTCCCTGGACCCTGAGGCTGTGGTCTTCCATGATTGTGACCTTCAATGGCTTCCTGAGCAGCACCAGGGATCCTCGCTGGTGTTTCCTTAGGTCAGAATAAGAGTCGCCAGGAAAGCTTGCTCCCGCACTGCATGGGAGGGGCAGTGTTCTCCTCCCAGGACAGCAAGAGCTCCGGAGGAAGGGATGCACATGCCTGCCGCCACCCCGGGTCAAACACCCGCTCTCCTCCCCAGACCCAGCCCACTGCCGCCTGCTGGTGAGACTCAGCCCCCACAGACAAGGCCTGGGTGAACCACATGCATCACCACTGTCACCTTCTCCAAAGGTCCCAAGCACTGCAACACTCAGAGAATCCTGGCACCCAGGCGGGCAGAGGTTGAGGTTCCCATCACACCGGGGATGGAGGGCCCCACCTGCGACTTCTCACCTTGCTCAAGCCATGATCAGATGCCTTGCCTTCCACCCAACCAGCCAATTAGAAATACAGGAAGAAAAGGACAGGGGTGCGATTTCAGACAGCAGAGGCAACTCCCTTCTTTCTCAGAGAAATGCAATAGGTAAGTCTGTGTGGCTCCGGAGGAGGGTCTGAGGAGCCACGTGTGAGGTCGACGTGCCCAGCGGGTCACGATGCGCAATCTCACATGACCTTCAGTCCTTGCGGGAGGAGAGCAAATGGGATGAGAGGAGGCTTCTCTTCCAACCACAAGGCTCAGATCCACAGCCCGCCATGTTTAAAAAATCCATCCTTCCACCTAACTAGCCCTCTCAGTGGCTCTGGAAGTTGATACCACACTGGTCACGGCACTAGCAAACATGGCAGCATAAGCCACATCTCAGATACCTCAGGGACTGAACGCATGCGGTCTTAGGAGAGAACATGGCTCCAGCCTGGTTCCATGACTTCGGTCAGCAGGGCCGCCCGCCCTGCTTCTACAGGACCACGTGGCATCCACATGCTGCAGTTTTTTATCTGGCTGGGTCTGAGGAGAGAAAGGCAAACACACGCTGCCAGCCATGATTGAGCAGAACTGACACCCCATTTATTCAGGTTTTCTTCAAAACTCCATGTTTTCTGCATCGACCTCATTAAAAAGCCTCTGAGCAGGATGAGGACCGGGTCCTGTATATATTAATAAAACCATCGATTTTCACACAGCCCCGTCTTCACCAGCATCAGGACACCCGAGGATGTGGTGTGAAAACATTGCTGTGTCAATTTCCACCGCAGCACTATTAATATCTAATTCTGAGAGTACATCTTTCATTTGGAAAAACAAACTGCTAGCTGAAGCACGCACCCCAGCACCCTCCACTCCTCGGTCTGGCATGCGTCCCCTCTTCATGGAGCATTTACAGGCAATATTTCTCTAAACTCCTCCATGCCTCCCCCCCCCACACACACACATGATGGTGTTTGCTTCATATTTGGGTGTGCACAGGGCCTGACACACTTCTTACATGACAACCCATGAGCATTTAACATGAGGTCACTTTAGGGTACAAGAAGTAGACAGCCCCCACCGAAGGATTAAGATGAGCGGGAGTTGGAGCCTGGAAATTCACACGGGGGAATTTTAGCATCTGGCATAGTTCCTTCCACACGTCAGCCCAGGCCGGAAAGCTGAAACCTCACGAGACTGAAGAGTTAACCAGAATGACTCTGGGAATTAAAGCGAGGAAATTAAGGACATTTGTGGGAGAAACCAATTGTTCTCTGGTCTTATTGATTGAATGATAAGCCAAGGAACATTAGCATCAAGTTCAGAGTATGGCCCACACAGGTAAGTAAAAGAATGATGCATTTTAAATGAAGCGGTTTCCAAGGGCACCACCATGCATCCGTCTGCCGCGTGAACTGCTCAGGGTGAGTGTGTGTAACACTCCTGACGTGGCTCTGAGCGCGTGTGGCAGATGGCGAAGGGGGCAGGGAGCAGGCGGGGGACGGGAGGAGACAGGCAGCCGCCCGGACTCGTGGTCAGATCGGCCCCCGTCGTAGTAACCCAGGGTGGCAGGGCTCAGGCTGGGAGACTGGAGACAGCCCTAAAGCCACAGTGTCCCAGTGCCCAGAGTAACTGACAGTCTAGCCAAGTTAGAGGAAGCATGTGGCTCCAACAAGGTGCTGGGAACCAACCAGGCTCACAGCTACAGTGACAGCAGGGACTTTGCTGTTGTTTTCTTCGCTTTTCATTATTAGTGTGTGTGTGTGTGTGTGTGTGTGTGTGTGTGTGTGTGACGCCAATCTGGGGGCTTGAACTCAGGGCTTGAGGGTTGTCCTATCACTCCAGGCTAACGCTCTACCACCTAAGCACAACTCCACTTCCGGCCATTTGGTGGTTACATGGAGAGAAGAGTCTCATGGTCTTTCCTGCCGAGGCTGGCTTCAAACTGTCATCCTTGGATCTCAGCCTCCTGAGTAGCTAGGATTACAGGCATGAGCCACTGGCGGCCCTCAGCGCCCCCCCCCCCCGCCCTCCCCCCCTCCCGTGGCTACACAGAAGGGTCAGGGCCCCTCCTGCCTGATCCCCAGGGGTCTCCTGTGTTTTCCTCGCTGGTCCATCCGCTTGGCCGGAGACACAGGGCTGCTCCAGCCACGGAGTGCTGTGTTGACATCCTTTCCTAATAGAGCCCTCCACTCCATTGAGACGCAGGTTGGAAATCGCAGGCTGCCTTGGCTGTGACAAGTTTATATGCAGCGGCGGCCTTTTTTATATGTCGCTGTAAAGATTGGATGGCGATTATAAGAGTTTGTGTGCTCCAGGCTGTACAGGGAGAAAATCAATTTCTCATTCTTCTAAAAAAGCTCACAATGCACCTGGAGTTTTTACCTGGACCAAATAAACAAAATTGTCACCTAACTTGAATGGGAGAAACACATTAGAAAAAGTCTTTATCACCCCACTTTTGACTCCGATGATTAGCTCAGTCTGACTGGTGGTTTTGTTGTGTGGGTTTTTTTTCCAAGGGATGGGGTCACTGAGAGGTGACTTCAGAATGAAACTGTGCTTTGGAGTTTATAAGAGAAACATGGAGAGAGACAGAAGCCATAGAGTTGGAAACCTATGGAGTTGGTATGTTGATTTGGCTTTCTGTGTCCTCTCTGGTGCCTGCTCTTAGCTGGTCCTCGACACCCAGGGCTGCTGGGGCAGCTGAGAGATCAGACAAGCATAGCCGTGGCACCAGCAAGCAGAGCATCCTGAGAATTCAGAAAACAAGAGGCTGACACGCTGGCCTTGCACCTGCCCGCGGCCTTCGCCCACCTCGGGGCCTGCAGCGGCAGCCTGAGCCCCTGGCCACGCTGGAGGGAGCGGCTGTTGAGCGTGCTGGTGCCTGCCGCTGGGAAGGAAACGTTCTGTGATTCCCACAGCGCTGTAAACTTCTACCTCATCACACAGGCTCGGCAGTTATTGTAATTCTTACCCACTGAGAATGGATTTACCGAGGTAATAAAGGCCTTAGAGACATCTCCGGGAGTTGGGGCTGCTCCCAGTGTACAAGGAGGACATTTATTTACCACGAGCTAAAGAAACCCAAAGTTGTCACCGAGTTGAGTCCTTGGACCTTCCTGAAGGACTTCTGTGAGCCTGTCCACCTTCGGGCGGGCCAGCGGCGCACAGCTCAGATGTAAGGAGGGTCTGGGGTCACCTTAGCTTGGGAGGGAGGAGCCCTGGAAGGGCAGGCCACACTGAGCTCAGCCGGGTACCTGGCCCCCACTCAGAGGAAGCTGAGCAGCTCTGCTAGCCATGACCCTGGCCTCTTCACACTGGCCAGCGACACACTCCAGACTGACCAGGACCTGAGTCCTCTTCAGATGGCCTCAGCCCTCCTGCCCAGCTGTCATGTGACCAAAGAGGAGCTCACCTCCGCTGTCTGCACACTCACTGGACGGAGCTCACCTCCGCTGCATGCACACTCACTGGACGGAGCTCACCTCCGCTGCATGCACACTCACTGGACGGAGCTCACCTCCGCTGTCTGCACACTCACTGGACAGAGCTCACCTCCACTGCACACTCACTGGACGGAGCTCACCTCCACTGCACACTCACTGGACGGAGCTCACCTCCGCTGCATGCACACTCACTGGACGGAGCTCACCTCCGCTGTCTGCACACTCACTGGACAGAGCTCACCTCTGCTGTATGCACACTCACTGGACGGAGCTCACCTCCGCTGTCTGCACACTCACTGGACGGAGCTCACCTCCGCTGCATGCACACTCACTGGACGGAGCTCACCTCCGCTGTCTGCACACTCACTGGACGGAGCTCACCTCCGCTGTCTGCACACTCACTGGACGGAGCTCACCTCCACTGCACACTCACTGGACAGAGCTCACCTCCGCTGCCTGCACACTCACTGGACGGAGCTCACCTCCGCTGCATGCACACTCACTGGACGGAGCTCACCTCCGCTGCATGCACACTCACTGGACGGAGCTCACCTCCGCTGCATGCACACTCACTGGACGGAGCTCACCTCCGCTGCCTGCACACTCACTGGACGGAGCTCACCTCCGCTGCATGCACACTCACTGGACGGAGCTCACCTCTGCTGTATGCACACTCACTGGACGGAGCTCACCTCCGCTGTATGCACACTCACTGGACGGAGCTCACCTCCGCTGTCTGCACACTCACTGGACGGAGCTCACCTCCACTGCACACTCACTGGACGGAGATCACCTCCACTGCACACTCACTGGACAGAGCTCACCCCCGCTGCCTGCACACTCGCTGGACGGAGCTCACCTCCACTGCCTGCACACTCACTGGACGGAGCTCACCTCCGCTGCCTGCACACTCACTGGGCGGAGCTCACCTCCGCTGCCTGCACACTCACTGGGCGGAGCTCACCTCCGCTGCCTGCACACTCACTGGACGGAGCTCACCTCCGCTGCCTGCACACTCACTGGACGGAGCTCACCTCCGCTGCCTGCACACTCACTGGACGGAGCTCACCTCCCCATCTGCACACTCACTGGATGGAGCTCACCTCTGCTGCCTGCACACAGCATAGTGAACTTGTTCTCACAGTTCCTTGTCCTACCTACAAGTGTGCAAGGAACCCTCTGGCTGTGCAAGGAATTTCCA